CCATTGATCCATATGTCTGTTTCTATGCCAGTACCACAGTGTTTTGATTACTGTAGCTCTGTAGTATTGTCTGAAGTCTGGGAGGGTTATTCCTTCAGCTTCATTCATTTTCTTCAATATTGACTTGGCAATTCTGGGTCTTTCATGATTCCATATAAGTTTTAGGATTCTTTGTTCTAGTTCTGTGAAAAATGCCCTGGGTAATTTGATACAGCCTTGTGAATTTTAAATTTTATTAATTTAAATTAACTTAAACATACATAGCAACTTGTGGCTAATGGCTACCATATTGAACCAGTGCAGTTTTACAAAAATCAAATTTCCAATCCATAACATTAATGGGATCACTATGCTGCACTCGAAATTAACACAACATTGTAAACCGACTATACTTCAATAAAATTTTTTTTTCCAATCCAAACCACCTGGACAATAGACAGCTTTTCTCAAAGGCCAGGTCCTGGGTGAGAAAAGCTGTCCCTTGTTCAGGCGCAAGAAGACCGTTTACCTCGATTGCCTGGGTACCGTGGAGATACCATTCTCCTTTCCAATTACAGGCTCAGTAGTTTGAAGCCAGCTGTGGTGAGAGAATTTACACCATGGTAACCTGCAAAGGCTACAAATCAAGGTTCCACCCCCATCCACCCCCACCAACCCCCACCAACCCCCACCCTTGGAAAGCTGGGTTTTGAACCTTGATCAGCACACCACTGTGCTTATGCCAGTTTGAGGAGATTGGCCTACTGAACTGCCTTGGCACAATCTGAGTTTCCTGGCATCCAAAGAGAAAAAGGAGACACTTATCAGACAGGAAAACAGTTTTTCAGGGAAAGCGAGGATTCTCTTAGTGCTACACAGGATCTTCTCTCAGGTTTCTTAGAAAGACAATGTCCTTGACAACTCCCCGGGAAACTGCAGAGGGTTTTCAAAGCTGTTGTCACAACAAACAAACAGGGGAAAGTCGTCCATGTTTGCAGCTTTCTGATGTTCATCGTGAGGACCATGGCTCAGAGTGCCTGGGGAAGGCAGCATGGCATCTTCTCGTTCACTGATTCCCCAAAACTTTTTATGAGTTGGTCACACGTACCGCTCCACACTAGGTGTGGGGGAAAGCATTCATTTACTCATTTGGACCATGTGTCTGGATGTGCGTGAACTCAGGACAGATGAATGAGGGTCCTCACCTCCAGGTTTTATCAGACACACAGCTTACAGTACCATTTACCAGATACTCAAGGTTGGAATTTGAAGGAGGTGAGGAAGGTCCTTGCTTTGGGTACAAGATTTAAGTAAGCACCAAAAAAACTCACTCATCAAGATAATATATTATTTATTAAAATCAAAATTAATGCAAAAATTCACAATGAGCCAAATGTCACATTTTGCAATAAAAACAGGTTATTGTTTCTTTGACGACCCTGCATTACTGTGTGAGAGGAGTAGTCATTTCCAGCTGGCCGGGGGTTACATGCCCTGCTGGTCCCCATGGGTGGGTTTTTGTGGGTTGACAATGGTATGCAAATAAATTGGGCCACGTGGGGCTTTCTGTATACTTTTGTGTGTGATTGTGAGTCTTTATTAACTTTTTCCACTTGGCTCAAAATATGGAAGGATATTTTGATAAGCATATAAAGGGGGACCCATTTTTCCTTGTGTCTCAGGCTCCAGTAAGGCTCTGCAAGGCACTGCTGGCTCTTTCTGAATCTCTCCCTGAAGCCTTGCAACGCCCCCAGGTGGTGGATACTATTATTACCACTACTGCTCCCCACTTTGCGGAAGGGAACATCGAGGCTTGCAGAAACTTGGGACATAGCACAGACAGTAATAGTGTCACATGGTCATGTAATACTTGAAGATGGTGCATGAGACCATCTGGAGACAGTGTTGGTTCTGGTGTAACACCGGACCTCAGAGACGGTTCTGACACTGGGCTTTCAGAGATGGGTAAATCCAGGAGCTCGGGGGTGAATGGGAACAAATGATTTGGTGCACCCCGGACAGTGCTACATGGAGGGTCCCAGGGACCTAGGGCGGTGCCAGGGTGGGAAGCCAGGGCACCCGACAGAGGACTCCAGCCCCAGGGAGTGGGAGACTGATGTCGGGGCTGTCTGTGAAATGGGGCCGAGCATACCTGCCCTCCCCTTGCCAGCAGGCTGCTGCCGGAACCAAATGCCACTGCAGAGGGTGGTGCCCGTACACCGGACATTTGCAGCATGGGTATAAGGGGGCTTGAATTTTTTTTTTACCATGTAATGTGTTTCCAGTTTTTTTGTCCCTGCCCATGGCTTCCCCTCCCCAGAGACAACCACGCTTTGCAGTTTCCTGTGCATCAATTCTGAAACAGTGTACGAATATACAAGTTATACTTCCCACCTGCCAGTGGTACCACATTGAAGGGATTATAATGAAGCAGAGCTTCCAGCCGTCTTATACAATGGTGAACTTTTAAAAATGGCTTAGAAATGGAATGTTTTGCGGCATCAAATTATACTTTGTAAGTAAAGCTAAAGCAGGGTTTCTCTGCTTCGGCACTAGTGATGTTATTGGCTGGAACATTCTCTGTTGCGAGGCTGCGCTGTGCACTGCAGGCCAGTGAGCAGCGTTCCTGGTCTCCACCCACCAGAAGCCAGGAGCACCCCCTCCCTGAGTTGTGGCAGCCAAAAAATGTCCCCAGACATTGCCAAACTTACCAGCAGCAGATAGGAGGGGATAAAGTAGAAATTTGTGAAGAAAGGAGAAGGTGCCAGTATGGAGACATTAAAGCTCAAAGGTCGTAAGTATTCAAGGACTATTTTCGGGAAGGATGGTTAACGGCTTTCCGTCTTCACACAGAGCAGAATAAGAAGTGAATTTAAATGGAAGACAAATTGAGATGAACATTAACACAAGTTAACAGTAAACAGTAACACCAGTTCTGGGCTACTTCTTTCCTGAAGATCTTTATGAATAGAACGACCTAGAATGACGAGGAAATGTTCTCCCGGGGCTCTGCGGTTAAGATTTGAGAAACTTCAAGTAATGAAATCTGCGTTAAAAAGTATATACTCCATGATCGTGTCTACTACTATGGTGCTTTTTAAAAAAACAAGCAATAACTATTTCTTGTTACAAAAGCAATACATGTTCATCGTAGATAAATTAGAAAACGTAGCTAAACTAAAAAGAAAATGAGAAACACCCCTAATCCTGCTAATGAGTGAAATCCCAAGTTTGATACTTCAGTGAATTTGCTTCCTAATTGTTTACTATGTTCACATGGAAAGGTGTCTACATAGATATGAATAGATTAACTGTAGGGGTGACAAACATTTCCCCTTCTTCCCTTTTGGGTCTTTTGACTGGTTTAATAATTAAATTGACATAAAATGGATAAACAAGAGAGAAGTAATTTTAATTTCCTACAGTACGGACATCCCTAGAATTATGAGATGCCAGAAAGTCACCAAAGCAGGCAGCTTTTATACCTTCTCGACAAGGAAAGAATAAATCTGTGAGGAATTGGTGAAATAAGGGGTTTGGGCTTCGGCTAGCAAATCAGTGAAGTAACAAGTTATGTTTATGCAGCCTTCCAGGCGGTGAATTCCCTGTCTCTGGCTAAAAGGATGTCTTTTATCCACCTGGTCCAGGGAGGGTACCTTCACATGCTTTTGGGGGGACCAAGGAAGGCCAAAGCCTCCTTCTTGTACAGGCTGTTTCTTAAGTAACTTTAATTCGAAATCATCAATATGCTGAGTGGCATATTGTGGGGTGGCACCTACATACCTTAATTGGATCATTCAGCACATGATGCTTTGGCACTTACTTTTTTCATTTAATACACTGTAAATGTCTTTACCTGTCAAAAAGCATCGGCCACCGTATCAATTTTCACCCTTCCATTGTACCGATGTCTTATAATTTCACCCATCCTCTATTTTTGCAAACTTTAACTTGCTTCTGGTGCTTTGAGGTCATAAATAATAGTGCTGCAGTTTTTCCTTTCATGATTTTTTCCATTCCCTTCCTTTTTTCCCCCTGGGGCGAGTTCCCGGAGCAAAGGATACCAATAGCTGTCCAGCCCACAGTATTTTTCAACCTGCGCATATTCGTAAGGATTTTCGTAGGAATTGCTAAACAGCCCACCAGGAAGATTGCTCAATTTACATTCTTATGGGTGGTATCTGTTTTTCTTTCTTTTTTTTTAAGTCTTTGGCAAAATGACAATTTTATAGGCGGGGGTGGAGGATGTTGCAAGTGATCTCATTCTCTTGAAAACTGCGACCCCCCCCCCCCAGTTCTAGGCCTTTTCAGAATTGCCGGTTTCCTTACCGTTTTTAATACTTGAACAGTCACCTGGAGAAGAGGAGGTGAAACTAACCTACCGACAAAAAAATCGCCCCATGACGAGTCAGGTGCCTCTACTTTAGTCATTTCCGCCAAGCCATTTCCGCCAAGCCAGAACACAGGGCAAGACACTGCAGACCTCCGGAGGGCATTTTATAGACCACCTGCCTCCCCACCTCCCACTGATTCCTGGAACTCCCACCACTGTAGCCCGCGCAGCCCAGCCCCAGCCGGCAGCGCGCCCTGTGTCAGGGACGCCGAGTTTTCTCTGGACACGAAGGCACCGACGGTAGGAGGCGAACGAGATTGGCAGGGCCAGCCTCCAGATCCCACAGCTGACCCAGCCGGCTGGGCAGGGCTGAGTGGCTGGGCGGAGCACGTGACGCTCCCAGCCTGGCACTTGGGTGGGGCGGGGGTGGGGGTGGGGGAGTAGCGGGGTTGGGGGTGGGGCCCGCCCTGGGCGCCTGAGGCTGAAATCGACATTTGCCTCTGGTAGGAAAATGAACTTGTCCGCTTCTGTCTCTATCAGCCTCTCAACCCACTGGAGCAGGGGATTTCGGTAGCATTTTAATTTTATATCTCAGGAACCTGAAAGCAAAAGGTAAGTTGCTTATCACTCAGAAAAATAAATGAGAGCAGGGACCTTGCATATCACACGGCCACTTTGTTGATTTTTAAAATCGAGTTGAAAATAACCGATCGCTATGAGAGGCAAGGGCCGTTATTTATACCCAAATTAGAGACTGACCTTCTGAACAGAAATTTGGTTAATCTGGAGGGATTGGTGGTGAAAGGGCCCGGGTTAAATATAGAAGGACATGAAAGCTGCCGGAATAAATAGCAAGTCAGTAACCCTAGCCTGCTTGTGAAACAATCTATTTCACATCTCTTTCAGGGGCGGGAGCAAAAGGAATGTTAAAATTGTAACTTAAACTCAAACGGAGTCAACTAATCTATATGAAAATGGAATATAAATAAAAACAGTCCCTGCTTTTGCCCTTTCACATTTCAGAAACGTTTATATAGTTTGGCAAGAAAGTTGGTATCTTCATTGATTAAGTTTGAAATATGCCATTTCAAATTTATGAAATGATCACAGTTGGAATTTTCTAAGGCTTTCCAAAGAAGGGTGTTTCAGTTGTGAATGAAAAATGTTGACATTGTACATATTTTCTGTAATAGTAAAATGACTCACTTCGCAGAATATGATAAAAATTAGAAAATGTGAAATAATGAGTTATTGTGAATTAACTTTCATGTCTGAGAGATCAAATTCTTTGCCAGAAGATTTAAGAAAACAGAACAACTATGCTCATGCAACAGCACTTTATTTTAAATAATCAAATGTTTAATTAGTATCAATATGTGGTGTCACTATTTTTTTCTTTGGCAAACACACGTTAATATTGGAATGTAGCTATTGAGAGTAATTAAAGCATTATCCATCAGTGCAATTAGTATACAATTCCACAGTGAATAGGCTTCAAATGAACGTATTTGATTGATACCGTATTTGATGCACAATTTGAAACACTGACCTTCTACGCAAAGTATGTATACGCACTCTATATTTTTGATTTGCACAAAATATATTTATTTATTTCTCCATTGCATTTGATAAAGATTTAAAAAAAACCCCACTGAATTGTTTCCTTTCATTACTAATCCCCTTATTGCCAGCTCGTTTGAAATCCTATTACCTGCCTGCGTGGAGCCTGGAGTCATTTGGGTCTTTCCTTCGTGTGCTGCTTGTTTCACACAGTTGGTGAAAGGCGAGGGAAGCTACCCACATCAAATAAACCTCCCTGAGGAGCGGCCAGAGCCGGGCTTCCGACCACTGGCTCCTCACCTCCAGGGACTTCCAGGGTCTTCCCACCACCCCCCTCCTCACCCCGAGGGCGTCACGTGGCGGCGTGGGGCCCGCCTCCCGGTGACGTCACCGCGCTCGCAGCCGTCGCGCTGAAGAAAGGATGCTCTAGGATGCTGTGCAGGTGGGCGGCCGGGCTGCGCCATGCGGCACTGCAGGTAAGGGACTCTGCAGGCGGAGCTCCTGCCCGCCGGCCTGCAGCCCGTCGGCGCCCCAGGAAGCAAAAGTGAGGTCTCTGGCTGCTGCGGCCGCCACATGCTCCAGGCGGCAGGGGGCCGGGGCGGGGGAGGGGCCCCGAGGCGGGGTGAGGAGCACGGCTGTTGCGGGCTTACCCGTCCGTGACTTGGGTCTTGGCATGCCCATCCCGGGAAAGTGGGCAGGGGCCAGACAGGAAGACCTGGGCTTCCTGCGCAGGTGGGAAAAAAAATCCGGAATGATCACAATACATGCATTATAAGGAGAGAGAGGGGCTTATCAGGTAACTATTAACTGTTTACCAACTGTCATTGTCCTTAAATACGGACACATTTACTAATTCTCCTTACAGGGGTTTGTCCTCAGTATTTAGCCTGATTTCTTTCAAAGCAAAGGCTGCTTTGCTTGAAATGAAATGGAAAACTTCTTGGTTTGCAAAATAAGAGCTAGATGTGCAGTCAAAATTGTTTTGCATATTTTTGCAAGGTTCCAGCATTTAACGGGGCTATGTCAGAAATGTGTTTTTTTCTCCCCCTCCGGGTGTTTTAGGTGGATTTAAAAATAAAAGTATGCAATAAAATACATGTAATAAAATAAAGCCTCCAAAGATAACATGCACATGTAAGACAGCACCGATCAGCTACATCTCTTAAGAACAAAATGGTCTTGAGAAAGGGATGGAGGTGGAGGTGAACAGCAAAACCTATGCATTCCCAGTGTCTCCTTCATTGCCTTGCTGGCTAATTCACTTGCGGAAAGAAGGGGCTTGCTGACTCAGCGGCAGATGGAGGAGGGGGGGTCAGGTGACTTTTCAGTTTTAGCAGGGCAGGGGCTGGGATTTTAATGGACTCTTTTGAGAGTTCCGACCTGTGTTTACACTTCCTTCTCTGGTTCACCCACAACCCGCGGCCAGGATGTGTGGACACCCTTAGGAGGAGAATGTGGCATTCTTTCCTGTAAAACAGGACCCCTCTGGAAGCGGTAGTGTCAGTAAATTGTACTGGAACTCGCGCCGTAAATAATTTGACACATCAGCAACTGTTGAAGGACCCACAAAGCAGTGTTTTTTAGTTGATAATTAAAGAAGGCATTTCTTTCAGAGTTTGGACACCCTGATGGGTTGCTGCAGTAATTCAGTAATTCGTTTACTGCAGTTTTCTTCAGGTTGGGTTCAGGTTAGCTGTAAGAGTTAAGATCCTCGGGTCCCCACCCTCTTTTCTCCCCTAGCCCAACTACGGACAGTAGAGCAGGTGATAAAGACTGACATAGTGGAGACCTGGTTCTGCTTCTGGCTTTGGGACTGTGTAACCTGGGACAAGTCACTTTGTGTCTTTGGGCCTCAGTGTTCTTTTCCTCAGAGCAATCATGGCGTTTGAATCAGGGTTTCTCAACCTTGGCACTATTGGTATTTGGGGCTGGATGAATCTGTGGCGGGGCTGTCCTGTGCACTGTAATGTGTTTAACTGCATCCGTGGTCTCTGCCCATGAATGTTGGCAGCACCCCTCATTGCCAGTTACGACAATCCACAATGTCTCCAGACACTGCCAAGTGTCCCTTCGTGGGGCCCCTTGCCGCTGGTTGAGAACCACTGATTTGGACGATCTCTAAATGCTCTTCTGGCTCTGGGATCCTAAAAATCATTTTCCTATGATTTGTTTGACACCGAGCCCTTGGTTAGAGATCAGATTCCCTTTCATGATGTTGTATATACTGGGAAACACAATGTGCAGGCTTTTTATGCTGTGGGCTTCCAGAAATAGCTTCTGTCAAAAAGGGGAGGCCTGTTTGGGTGCCAGTTGTAGCTGGCAGCTAGCTGGGCAGAAAGGAGAGTGTCGGGGAAAGAGGAAGAAATGCCAGCAGGAGACCAGCGTGCGGACCTGGGGGAGACCTAGTAGCCCAGACTCCCTTTCCTTACCTGTGAAAGTGGGACTAGCAGGGTCCATGTCAGGGGCTTGTGAGGAGGGAATGAGACCTCGGGGTGCTGGCGCCCGTTGTGGCGGGGAGATGGTGGTGACCTGTGGCCTGGATGAGGCTGGCACCGGCTGCCCGCAGAGCCCCGGCCTGGACCCGGCAGGTGGTGGCCGTTGCATACTTTAAGCTTTAGTACAGGACTGGCCCCTGAAGGTCTGGCTCGGACACTTTGGAGGGCGGCTTTGGCTGCATCAATTTGCCTCTTGGAGCTGTTGCTGAATCTATAAAATGGGGCTCTGGTACTTGCTGGTCCTGCTTCCTTGGCTTTGGGGGGATCAGATGGATGTAAGGAGGTCGGCAAGCTGGGAAACTCCTGAGAGACAAGAGGCAGTGATGGCCGCAGCTTTGTAAAGTGTGGGCCATGCTTAGTGTGTGTATATGTGGGGTGGGAGCTTAGACTGACCAGAAAAATGATCCTCATCTCCCCACAGCCTGGGACTTCAGTGTTCCCCTCCTGCCGTTCCCTTGCCATCAGCTCGCTCTCTTTCTGCCTCTTCCAGGCCACTAAAAATTGGGGGAGGGTTGGCCTTTGGCGAGAAAAAGCCACTGAGCAGAAGCCAAGGCCCAGCCAAGCTCCCTCCTTCACCCACTTCCCCACCATTGTCTTTACATGTGGCCCTCACAGACGGTGAGACAGCTCGTCCCCACCCTAGAGCAGCCTCACTCTCGTGCGCCTCAGAATGGCTTGGCACCCTTGGCGGGCCATCTGGCGCTGTCTCTGCACCATCAGTATCAGTATCACGAAAGAAACTTCACAAGGAGGGGGATTCTCCATCAGATGAGGTCAGTGAGACAGAATAGCTCTCCTAGGCAGCCGTGCTGCTGTGACAGAGAGAGGACCACGGACTGGATGCCTTCTTAACATCAGACATTTGTTTCTCATGCTTCTGGAGGAGGGAAGTCTGTGATCAGGGTGCCAGAGTGGTTGGCTTCTGGGTTGCAGACAGCTGCCTTCTCACTGTATCCTCACTTGGCGGGAAGAGAGCAAGCTGGCTCTCTGGCCTCTTCTTGTAAGGGCAGAAATCCCATTGTGAGGGCTCCACCTTCATGACCTCATCACCTCCCAAAGGCCCCACCTCCTAACATCATCACATTGGGGATTAGGATTTCAACAGATGAATACTAGGGGGACACGTTTGGTCCATGACAGTAACCAAATATAACTTGTAGCCCTTGATTGGATCCTGGCCTGAACAAACATCTATAATAGGCATTGGGGACATTTAGTTTATTTTTATGTGACTGCCTATTAGATGATACAGGGAGACTACTGTAAATTTTACTAGATGCGATAATCTTGTGGTGTGGTAGGCACCCAGCTCAGCCAGTCTCCTGATTCCTGACACAGAAACGGTGAGATGAGATGTGTTTGTTTCCTGCTGCCATGTTTTGGGGTAATTTGTTACACAGCAGTAGATAACTAACACACGTGTGTGTGTGTAGTAGAGTCTTATTTTTTTGGTGATGCATGCTGAGGTATTTAGGGATGAAGTGTCATGATGGCAATAACTTAAAGTTAGTTTTATTTTTAAATTAAAAACATTTTTCTTAAGTCAAGTTTTTTTTTTTAATGGAGATACAGGGTATTGAACCCAGGACCTCATGCATGCTGAGCATGTGCTCTACCACTGAGCAATATCTCACCCCAACCCCTGCAATACGTTACTTTTAGTTAGTTTTTTTTTTAAAACATTTTTAGGGAATCTCTTTAATGTATAGCTGAGTAGAAGACAGATAAATTCTCAAACCTACTTCTGCATTCAATTTGTTGCAGTATCACATGTCATGTGGCCTCTGGAAAATTCCACTGTATCCTGATGAGAGAATGAGAATGGAAAAAGACAAATAACAACTTAAGGTTATTATAAGAATATTTTTGACAGCATGGACCCCCTTAAAGGGTCTTGGGGGCCCCAGGGTGTCTCCAGACCACACTTTGAAAACCACAGTAATTTACTTTTAACTAATTCAGATAAACGGAGAGTGCGAGGAGGCACATAAAGTCAGATAGGAACACTTGTTGACTTTGGGGTTCATCAGACTCTTCCCTGTAATGTTCTGTGTATTTGAAAATGTGCACAATTAAAAGTTAAAAAGAAGATAGAAAAGAAATGTAGACTCGGGCATGTGGGGGATTGTGATTGAGGAGATCTGGGGGTGCAGCCCACGGGGAGCATTTTTACCCTGATCGCATGGACCTGCGGCCCAAGCTGTGACCTGCTGGCCGGAGGGTCCCAGCTTAGCCACGTGCCCTGCGTCCCTCCACCCTCCCGAACCAGACCCAGAGGGTTAGGTGGCGGCGATGGCTCATCTGTGCTCCCTCCGCCAATGAGGATGAGGGGCTGAAGACACTCTCCCTCGTCAGCAGACTATCTTGTTGGCTGTTGGAAAGGCCTTACTATCAAACCCTTGCTTGACCGTATTTTCAGGGGACAGCCGGAGATACGTTTTCCTTTCTAAGGGCAGGGGTGGGTTTCCTTTACGAGTGTGATAAGTATTTTTTGAATGACTTGTTATTCTTTGAAATAGTAATATATGCATGATGTGAGAATTTCAAGCAGGATCAAGGTTATGCAACGAAAACGAAGTCTTTGTCCCATTTCCATTGTCCCCTGACCCCTCCTTCCAAAGGCCATCACTGGTAACTTTCTTTTTTTTTTCTTTCTTTATTTAAAATTTTTTTTATTGGTGGAGGTACTGGGAATTGAACCCAGAACCTCATGCATACCAAGCACACACTCTACCGCTGAGCTATTCCCTCCCCTTCCCCACTGGTAACGTTCATATATATTGTTTCAGGAATGTCTGTGCAAATATCCCAACTATAGATTGTATAGAGCCCTTTCTTTTTTCTTTATTGGTATGTAATTTACATGGAGTGAAATGCATGGATCTTAATTCAGTTGGGTTTTTCCCTTTTTTTTTCTTTTTTAATGGAAGTATAGTCAGTTTACAATGTTGTATCAATTTCTGGTATACAGCATCATGTTTTAGTCATACATGTACATACATATATTCCTTCTCATATTTTTTTAAATTGAAGCTGCAATGTGTCAATGTCTGGTGTACAGCACGATGTCCCAGTCATGCACGTACATACAGATATTCATTTTCATATTCTTTTTCATTAAAGGTTATTACAAGATATTGAATATAGTTCACTGTACTAAACAGTAGAAACTTGTTGTTTATTTTATATATAGTAGTTAGTATCAGTTCAGTGGGTTTTGACAAATGAAGACAGAACATTCTCGGTGCTCCTGGAGGGCCCCATCTTGTCCTCCTTTAGTCAAATCCTCTGGCAGAGGCAACACCGTACTGATTTCTGTTGGCAGTTTACTTTTGCCTGTTCTTGAATGTCATATACATAGAGTCCTATGATCTGCACACTTTTACACCTGGCTTCTTCCGCTAGGCATGATTAGCAGATTCATCCGTGTTGTTTCACGTAGCAGTAATGCATTCATTCTGTTTTTCTGTGAAAGTACTTTTAGAGAAAGAATGGAGGCACGAGATACACCTCGTTTCTCTTCCTACTGTTGTTTAGAGCCTGTTTTACACCAACTCGCTCACAGTGTGTTCCAGTGGGGACAGTCTGGAAATTTATTTCACCGGTCCCCTCCTGATGGACATGTGGATGACTCAAGCTTTTGTGATCAGTGCTCATGGTATTATACTAATGTAAAAATGCCAAAGAGGAAAAGACCTCTGGGATTAATTTAATGCCTAGAATTTAGATGTTGGAAACTAGCTTCAAAATCAAAGCAACCCTTATATTTTACCTATGACGAAGAGATGTCCAGAGAGGTCAGGTGACTTGCCCAGGGTCACATGACTGATAGTGACAGAGTTGGGAAACCACCCAGGTCCTCAGATTCCTTGCACAGAATGTTCTTTTTTCCACTGTAGGCTCTGTGAGGGCAGGACCTGTGTGTGCCTTGTTCACCACTGTAAACACAGCACAGAGCACACAGCATAGTAGGTGCTCATTAAATATTAGTTGAATGAAAAATTAAGTGAGATATTAGGACCCTGAAAAAAGATCACCAATATCCCAAGAACTGCAAAGGCATTGCCCTGAGACATGAGCCTCAATATTCATTCATTCACTGACTCCTTCATTTACTTCTTTGTTCAGCCAATATTGTTTGGGTCCCTGCAATGTGCATAGGCCAGGGTTTCTCAACCTGGACACTGTGGACATTTGGGCTGGATGATTCTCTGTGGTGGGGCGTCCTGTGCATTGTGGCATGTTTAGTAGCATCCCTGGTCCCCACCCACTCGATGCCCTGCCCCCCAGTTGTGACAGCTGAACTCCAGACATTGGCAGATGTTCCCTGGTGGGCAGAATTACCCCCGGTTGAGACATACCAGTCTAGGCAGTGGGGTGTACTGTAGAACCAAATGGACAAGGTTTGTGCCTTGGTGGAACTGACATTCCACGGTATTTGATGGATTGTGCTGTAGAGTGAAATATGGCTAGAGGCAAAGGGTGGGCTGCGGTGGATTCAGAGTGCTGGTTAGACTGGGTAGTCTTGGAGGCCTTCCTGAGGGCTCACACATGAACAGGGATAGAGGGGGAGCCATGTGATTATCAAGGGAGAGGAGGGCTCAGGGCTGAGGGAACAGCCTGTGCAAAGGCCCTGAGGCCCTGGGTGCAAAGGCCCTGAGGCCAGGCAGGGCCAGGTGCATCTGATGAATAGCAAGGAATTTGGCATGTGCTGGAGAGTGTGTGGTGGGAGAGGAGCTCTGGGGGGTTGCCAGGGCGGACCACGCGGGGACTTGGCAGAAGTGACACCAACCCTGGGCGATTCTAAGTTTGATGGCAAGCCGCAGGGTGTCTTTGGGTGGGAGAGTGACCTGTCGGGACTTGTGTTTGAAAGGATGGCTCCCGCTGCTGTCAGGGGGACAGAACGTGGGTGAGAGAAAGTAGGGTTGCCGGCGAGGAGACCGGGATGGTGGCCAGGTGAGCAGTGACATTTGTGGCCAAGTGAGCTGTAACTTAGAGGACTGTGCCCCTAATTAATTGAGCAGCAATATTGTGCCTTGGCTAGCAAAGGAGGACAGGCGGTCAGGTCAGATTGTGATCGTGTGATTACAGTGCTTTGAGGTGGCAGCCCCCTATATCACCTCTCGCACCTCTATCAGGACAGTGTCACTCGTGATGGGCAGTGGTTCGCTGGGACAGCAAAGGCAACGGCACATGTGTTCCACAGCTGGCACTAGAAAGCCTCCCCTTCCGCCTCCTGTTGTGGATGAAGTCCCCTGAGCTTTCTTGTGGCCCCTTGAGCCCGCCCCTCATCACTGTCACTGTGACCTGGCTGTTCTCTTCCTGGAGGGCTCCCCACCCCTTGGCCCCCCATGCTGGGCAGCCTGGGTCACCCATGGTCCACTGCCACCATCCCTCTGCCACATTTCCTTCCTTCCTGTGGTTTGCTCCGGAGGTGCTCGCTTGCTCTCCCGGGAGTCCTTGTGCGGATGCCCGGAGCAGGGAGCTGGCTGTGGGTTGAACTGATGTGAGTTGGAGACCAGAGCCTTCCCCGTTGGAGGTGACCGCACCTCCTCCTGGAGCCCTGCACGCGGAGAGCCCTGCAGGGCTGGGCCAGGCCCTCGACTTCGCCCCCCACCCCCACCTCCGAGGATGCTGCCGGCCCCACTCCCACCAGCAGCTCCTGGTGGGTCTGGGGTCTGGCTGGAGGGAGCATTGCTCACAGACTTTTCATTCTTTGTGGTCCCCTTGAGAAGTCTGCTCCTGGCCCTGGTGGCTGGGGACCTGCTGACTCATTTCTCGAGGCTGACGCTGCTTCCCTAGTGCTCGCCCAGCACTTTGTACCATGTCTCTAGGGGCGGATGGAACTTACCCGCTTCTGGGATCTTAGCTTCCCTTCTGGGTCGAGATGGCTCAATGTGATTATTTCTTCCCGTCCACTGGAACCCGTGAAGGCACTGGTTGGGTTAGCAGGACGGGGGCCACCACAACAATGACAGACACGTCATTTTTCCTCTTAGCTCAGTTGTGCCTTCCACTAGCACCCCCTTTGCCCAAAACATATGAATTGATGGACATTTCAGCCTTCACTTTGATAACCACGCTAGAATACAGTTAAGCCACCCCATGGCCATGTCCCCACCATGGCCTTGCTCTGAGGACCCCGGGCAGAACATCTCAAGGCTGCACTGGAGGACTCCCCGCATTTAACCTTCACACAGGTGCTAGTTGTGTCTGTGGCTTCGTTTTCATCCGTGAGGGGAGTGGCCCACATAAGCAGGAAATAGACTGTTGTGGAGGAAAATGGTCTGGAGAGGTCCCAGGAGAGCGAGTGACACGGAGTGGCACTTCTCACCAGCATTGTCTTCAGCCGCTATTTTGGGCTGAAATTGTGTCTCTCAGAAATGCATATATTCAAGTCCTAACCCCTGGTGCCTCAGAAAGCGACCTTATCTGGAGATAGGGCCTCCCAGCCCCTAAGGAACCAACCCTGCTGTCACCTTGGTCTCAGACTTCTGGCCTCCAGACCTGGGAGACAAGAAGTTTCTCCCATATGAGCCCTCTGGCCTGTGGGGCTTTGTTTGGGCAGCCCCAACGAAATAAAGACAGCAGTGTTTTCTGGGGCAGACGAGCTTTCACCCAGCCCGAAGGTCTGAGTGTTACCGAGTCCAAACTCGTTCTGCTCGCCGCACAACGGGCCAG